GATGCGAATCACAGCAGGGCATTTTTATATCCAATGGGATTCAGATTCTTTTCACCTTTCATGGACATGATTCCAGAACATTTAAACTAATTCGGAATTTTCAGCGTTCTATCGTGGAGCAGGAACTTTTTTGTTTTATTCAAGTTTCTATGCCTGAACGTGAAGCATTCACACGATATATCGAATCTGATATGAGATGTCCGATATTCACTCACAAGACAATTTTTGTCTGGCAGCAATTTTTAAAATTGTCGTGGGAGAAAAACCGCCGCTGATTTCGTAAAACATAAAAGGTACCGCATACCAGTCCGCAACATGCTACGTCAACTCCTTGGTATTAAACTTTGGCAATTTCCCTTAACTATCACCGTTTTGCCTCACCTTCCCCTACTGAATGCAGAATCGTTTCTCGTCGCCTGTTACGCAATGCGGGGAAAAGTTATGCTTTTGAGGTTTCGGTAAGGAAGTAGGACTTAGTGAAAGCGCCACCTTTGCATTGAAATCTCGATTGATGATGTCGGAGGTGTTGTTGGCTTAGGGTTTCTTGAGTCTAATTCTCCCACGAGCCAGAGTCGACGTTCAATAAGCTTCCCCTTCCAAGCAATGGTTATGTTTGGCAAATTAATACTATTACTTCTCCGGTGTCGTAAATAAAAAAAAGGTAGCTATGATGTTCCAACAAGGAAACAAAGAAAACCGAGGAAAAGAAATTCTCAACGTGGAGACCAACGTTGATTCAGGTCCAATACATTTTTTCAAATATGAAGATTTTACAAAAGGATATCGTAGACGAATCTCTAGGGTGTGTTATAGGCTTCATTCCTTCTAATGCAGCCTGAAATGACTATCCAGAAACACTCGGATTCGGGCATAAAGTCGTGGGAAGAGCGCGACGGGACTGTGGAGGCAAGGCTTCCCGCTTTTTCGATATGAAAAACTTGACCCTCTCATTAAAAAATTTCAAGCTACATCTGCCTCTGAAAAATAGTGTTCGTCGTTTGGTTTCTATTGTGCGTAGAAGAGCGGTGAAACATAATTCAATCGTAAAATTCAGGGGATAAAATTGAAACCGGGCAGCAAGTGTGGGGAGCTTCTGGACTTGGATTTCTCTACTCATGAACCTGTTTCGTTGCCATTACCTTGATGAGTCTACATCTGGTTAAGTGTCATTTTGTTCATGGGACTTAAAAGTCGTGCTTTAAACTTCTTAATGATCGTGTTTTTCTTAATGAAAAAGAATTTCAATTCCCTACTCTGTATCACGGAAGACCATCTGACGTGGTTAACCTCAGTGTGCAACGGACACGCGTCTCCTCACGCCTTGCGACCTAATTTTTTTAAAAATGGAAATGCCCTTTGAAAAAAGGTGGAATTCAAAGAAATGCGAAACAGATATGATATTTGTACTTGATGAACACATCAATGTCAGCCTCTACAGCTCTTAGTCCAACATTAGTTTGGCATTTTTTTACGAATTAAGAAAATTTGTAGTGTTCTTTCTTTAAACCACCATAAGGCAACTGAGACACGTCTGTTTCCTGAAAGACCAAAAAAAAGGTATTGGGAACTAAATTGACTTAAATCAATTATGATGAATTTGGCTTCTTTTTTAAAATTATTTTCCGTCGAGGTCAGCAGTAAATATGTTAAGACAGCAATGGAAGAACACGAATGATCATGCCGCATTCCAGATGGTCAAGCACTTCTATTTGCCAACTGGTTATCAGCTGGACAAGACATTTGGTTCCTTGCTGAATTTCAGTCGGCCAAACACATCTGCCTTCCAGCTGGTTACCAGCTGGAATTGATGTCTGCTTCCAAGCTGAATTCCAGCTGGTCAAAACCCATCTACAATCCAGCTAGTTACCAGCTGGAAATGGTGTCTGCTTCCAAACTATGTTCCAACTGGTCAAACCCATCTACTACCCAGCTGGATACCAGCTGGATCGGATCGCTTTTTTTTATGTTTCCAAACTAATTTCCAGCTGGTAAATTCAATCTCATTTCCAGCTGGAGCCCAGTTGGAAAATGTAGCTGTTTCCAGCCGGGATTTTAAACTGGGCAGTTTTCTAAATTGGGCGCCACTTGATTTCTGTCACTTCATTTTTTACTATATGGGCGCCTGGGCGGCAAATAGCAAAGCACCCAAATTGGGGAACACAAAACGCACACTAGCTGATGAACACAAATTCTTGAACGATTGAATGACTCAATCACTGATTGACGGGCTGAACGTAATAAATATTCCGGGATTTCGTCACACTGGTGTTCACTGCTGCAAGCTGTGAGCCTGTGGCATAAACCGTTACTAGAGTACTGGATGTATTGATTTTCAACACCGCCTTTTTTCACAGTAGAGATAGGATTCGTGTTGGAAATTGACTGAGTAAAATGACTCGTGACTGCCGTCTCTCAGCATATGTCGCTAGCAGAATGGTTTAGACTTTTAATATCAGTCATAACTCGCTCGCAAAGGAAGTGAATATAGCCCTAGCACTACTAACCGAGCTACCAGCATACGTCATACCGGATACATATCAATAGTAAAATTGTATTTTTTTTATTACCCCAGAAATGCTATTTGCGTCAGGCAAACGGGAAAAAATCGCCAAAATGGGTATTTTGCCAGTGGGCGGCAAAATGGGCAAAAGGAGAAATATTTCCGAAATTTTGCTTCTTTGAAATAAAAATACGCCACTGTGCATGTGGGCATTAGGTCCCTTCCCAACTGGTGGTGCATCCCAAACGAGCTAACTGGTGATTTGCTGGCCCTCTAGCGGCACGGAAGGTGGCAGGCCAGTGCTGCAAGTGGGACATATACCTGGTGGACCACCACCTACGTGCTACTTGGGTCGCCTTCAATTATTTTTCTGTATTTTATGTTTAGTGCGCATTTCTTTGCTTTGTTGGAAGAAGCAGAAGACACCAGGGAGGCGTGAAATGCTCGTGCATGCGTATCAGGAGTGCGGCTAGGAAAGAAGTATGCATTCGTCTTCGCGGTGGGCTGCTTGAGCGAGCTAAGAAGTACGCCGTGAAAAGATCTCTTCAGTGTGACGTCATCAGTGTGGCGCTTCCCTTACGTGCTGTCCATTGCACCGCCTAACAGCAACCATTTTACCTCTAAATCAAAATTATACCTGACGGAACTCACTGATCTGGTGTTATATGTAGGTATCAATTACTAGGCCGATGTCTCAGAGTCAAGGCTCAGGTAAGAACACCTGTATGTTTTGTATGTATTTAGCGAGCCTAGGCGTATACCTAACGTTAGACGGAGCTTAGACCTGTTTTTTTTTTTGGTGCGTTTGATGACCTAATTGACTACTTCAAATTTAGTCAACACTGAGATCCAAGTTAGTTATTAGGCTAGACTACCTATTCTCACTGGTCGCTGAGAGGCAAGTGGAGCAGGTATGCATTTGAAGAGTCCTGACTACAACCATGTGTATGCGTCGTAGCCAGTCAAAGTTTGGCCTATAGAAATTGGCTTGACACAAGGTAAAGTCTCCTATCAGCAATATTAACTTGCCCTTTTCAAACAGTTTCTGCCATTTTTGTGCAACACCCACCCTTCTGAGCTTGTCAATCCATCCTAAGTAAGAATTAGGCTTCAGAGTTCCTATATTTTCCAAAGTAATGAATACTAAGATGAAATCTTACCATGAGCAGCCAGGCTCCATATTGAACTCATTAAATTAGCCCTTCGGACTTATGAAAAATTGCAACCACTTGGTATATGGTGTGCATACATGAGCTTATTCTATACCTGAATCCTATTAAGCTTAGAGTGACAAGTGCTGAGTGAACAGAGGAAGATTTGAGTGCACCACAAGCAGTGCATATTATTTTGAAGGGAGAAAAACTGCCAAAAAAAAGAAATTCCTCTTTTTAATAGAACAAATGCCAGTCTATTTTTGCTCTTATCATGTGACTTATATCTCATGACATTTTTTTCAAAAATTGCACTATGCATGGACTGATAGTTTCCCCATAACATTCTGAAATGTATTGCAAATTCACTGCCAAAGCAAGGGTATGATTGATCGTTTTAAATATTCTAATACAGGAGAGGAACTTAAGTTCCTTTGGAATAACTTGACTCCATCTTTGTCCTCCCTCCACCATAAGTTATTGAAAAAACTGAAGAAACAGAATGATATTGATTCATTAGATATTTCTTATGAGTGAATCTTATAAAAAAAATATTTTTAATAAAAGAAAAAGAGACCTGCCAAGAGAATGATTTTCAATGGAATGGGTGTTTGATATGGCCTGAATGATTTGCAACCAGACCACAAAGGCATTTTTTACACTCAACTACAATGTTTCCCTATTTGAGTCAGACATTTTTCACTTGGTTCCAAAACTCATGCATAGGAAGTACCCTGTGTATGACTGTCTTATTCTTTTGAATAATACTTGACCTTGATAGGGTGCTGTCCATTTTCATTATTCAACATCTTTTGAGTTATTACTCATAGCCTTGCTATACATTATACTGTATACATACTGCTCTGCTGTATACATTACATTTCAGGATGCCTGCATAAAAAATGTAGTGGGGAGATATGAAAGGCTTTTTTGCAAGCCTGAAAAAGGTATATACATTTTAATAGAATACTCAGTAATCGTATGAGGTGTGACCTACCACAACTCTTCGGGTGTGAGGTGTGACCTTTCTTATGGGGTGGTGTCTTACACTATGCTTTAGCGACAACACTGCATGATGACCTGACAGGCATATTGGGAGGTTTATTTTCGTGGGGTTTACCTTGACCCTCCCCCTCCCCTCCCCAAGTAAGTCTCCAATATCCCTGTCAGTGGTGGAGAAATTTTTCTTTGGGGGGCAGTTCCCTAGTTCTTACTGTCCCCCTCCTCTACCTAACATCACTCTCCATCCTATATCCTTTTTCAATTTTTGTCTGGGGTAAAAGCTTGAATATCTATTTCACTGGCCCCAATAATGATTAATGGAGGTGCCCTAAAATTTAAAAAATAGAATGCGAGCTTGGCCTTGTCCCCCCTCCTGCATCCATCATCGTGTGGATATTGGTATGTATAGAGGAGCATTGCTCTATCAGCAACAGTAGCTGCCACAATGTGACACCAAGGTTTTTCTCGATCATCAGTAGTAAGGAGAGCATAGTTAATTGGCTCCATGAACAGGGCATTTTGCAAGATCAAGTTTAAAAAAATTATTGAGACAATGCCTGAGCCAAGGCACCTTTTTGAGGCCTGGTGACATGGCCTCATGAACAGGTTTGAAGCATTCATTTGGGACATCAAGTCTAGGTTCATCAATTAATCTAATGTGAAACCTGATGATAGTCAAATGACATAATTTGCCCACCTAAGTGGTTTTGGATAGTAAAATCAAGTTAAAAAATGTGTGTATACACATGGTTTGTGTGTACCACACAAACCGTGGTCACACTTCACATCCAAAGTGCTGTGGTATGTCACAGACCATGGGTAGGTCACACCTCATACGATTACTGAATACTCTGTATTATAGTCTTAGTAGTACTTAATGCATGTACAAATCAAATCTTGCCTCATAGGTTCAACAATGGGTGCAGTGGCATTACTTGTCTATAAGAGAATGGATGTAGAAAGATTTTGCAATTGGCCAAATATTTTTGTTAGACTTAAATGCATGCAAATCAGAATCAAGACAGACTCAAGGCTAACATGCCAGGCCTAGGTTTAGGCTAGACCATCGCCTAGCAGTTGCTAAGTTCATATGCAGTGTGAGTTCAGGATTGTTGAAAAAATTGCTTGTTCCCATCTCCTCTAGGTTTCCAGTTTGGTGCTCCAAGCCAAACACCATTTCAGTTTGGCAGCCCCAGCATCACTTCAACGACAGCTGGTGCAGGGATGGGGACTGCAGGAATTCAGTTCGGCTCTTTGAGCAGTCAAGGCACAGGTGGGAATTTAACATTACTCTAGGACTAAAAACATACCTAGACCTAATTTCACTTTAAGGTATCCTCAGGCTTCATAATCAACTAAAATAGCCACTGTATTCAGATGACTAATAGCCCAGTGCTATCCTTTTGGGCTGGCATCAACCTGTAATGGTGGATGTTTTAACCCTAAAAAATTTTTTCTCTGTGGATAAATTGAATTGGAAATTTTAGTTAGTTACTCCTGAGGTAAGCATTGATTAACTTCCTCATAAGTGCATGAAAGCACCAATAACTAAGAAAATTAATCAGTCATTGTCAGTCATTATACAGCACTTCATTAGCCTCAGTTTACATGGACATGCTGCAACTCGTTGTAATAATATAAATTGGCATTTGTGGAATTAGCATGCAACTTATACTGGTGCTTGGAAAGAACACTGACATGCTAAGGAGTTTGTTGTTCAAGGATGCAGAATTTTTAGAAGAGTAAAACCTGTAGTGAGATTTTGCAATTAAGAAGCTATCATCTTTCACGATGTTGACATTTTATAAACTTTTCATATAATATAGAAACTATCATTGGAATATCCTGAATTTCTCCAATATTCCTTGTCCCATATTACCCCAAATATCCTTTTATGTCGCAGTATCATTTGATGCAAAGTTCATGATATACTCATGTATCAGCTATCATCCATTTATGAATAGGCCTGTCTCTGAAAAGGAGTACTGAACAATAATCAGGATCATATCACGCAACTCACAAATCATATGGGATGATATGGTAATCAGGATCCACTGACAGCAGGCTAGGCCTATTTCCTCACTCAAAGACACAACTTGAGTTTTTATTATAGATTTTACCTCTCATCTTGTGCAGCTTTTGGTGGAACTGGATCCAGTGGCTTTCAGTTTGGCATTACATCAGCACCAGCAGCTAATGTTGCAAGTGTATCATCTGCTACTACTGCAGGTGGAACTGGGGGACTATTCCCTGGTTCAACCCCAACTCCAAAATTTACTCTTCCCTTCCCTGCCACACCAACAAACCAAAGTACCCCAGCCACAGGTGAATGACAATCATTTAATATTTTTGTAAATATCCTTACAAAGCAATACTCATATATATGAGATGGCCCAGATTGTGGAATTAAAAAATAGGGCCAATATTGCAAAATTTTATTGCTGCATTGTATATTATCCTATGCATTTAGTAAGTCCAATTCAAACACACAAGATTGATCCCAAGAGCAATTACAATTAGGGTTACTGAGGCCTGCTGGGAAATCTGTGATTCTTCTGTCAGATACTTGACATGCTTTTCTTATGTATGTTGCAGGCTTTGGTGTAACTCCATCAGCAACAGGATTTCAGCTTGGAGCAGCCACATCAACAGGAATGACCAGTGGAGATGTGACTTCCACTCCTATGTCAGCTGTCAAGTTTGGATTTGGAACACAACCCCCTTCTACAAATACTGCTACCTTTCCTACATCCACTGGAAGCTTGCTCCAGTCAGCTACCCCTTCTTCATCTGGTCCCCCTAGCTATGGTTTTGGCGTCTCAACTCAAGGAAACTCCAGTGTTGCAGGCAGTTTTCCATTCAGTCAGGCACCAGCTACAAGTGCAGGCACTACACAAAGTCTTGGTTTCAATGCTTTTGGTACTCAGACCACACCATTGCCATCATCTACTCTGTTTGCCAACAATGCTTCATCAAAAACTGTTACTTCTGGCTTCACTCTTGGACAAGGACCAGCTGCTTCTACTACTGTGACAGCAACCACAACTGCTTCAGTTGCCACCCCATCATTAGTACCTTTTTCTGCTGGAACAGTTCCATCTGTCACAAATGCTACAACATCTGCATTTGCAGTCACATCTGGCTCAACTTCTTTTTCATTGGCCAAGACTACAGGAGATTCTTCTGCTACAACAACTACCAGTACAATTGCATCAACAGCACTACCTGGTGCTGGAGTCTCAGCACTGTCCTTCAGGCAGCTGGAGGAAAACATTAATAAATGGAATAATGACTTGGAAGAACATGTGAAACTCTTCCTTGGTCAAGCAACTCAGGTTTGTAACTCATTATTTTTGTACCAAGTAGTACTTAACCCTTTCAGACCTGGTGTCCATTCCAATGGACATTGCATTTTTCATTGTGTCTATGGGTAGATTGTGTTCTCAGGATTCTCATGACTTTGCACCCCATGTTACACTGCAATGAGCATAATTAGGCATGGCTCGATTCCATTGGAGGCCTTCTTCCACCCGTTTATCATCTTCAGTTAATTAACCCTCATCCGGGCAAGGTGAGTCTGTCAGACTCATGTAAAATAAGGCCGTTTGCTGCGGTTACGGTATGTATTCTTATAAATAACAGTACTGTAACTAAAATAATACAGACAATTTATTCAATGGTCCTGATAGTTTAAAAAAATAATGACAGTAATAGACCGAAATATGTCGTAGTGAGTCCAGCGGACTCACCTTGCCCGGATTAGGGTTAAATGAATCTAATTAAATGAATAATATATGGTATGATGTGGTAAATTTATACAAAATTAGAAACTGTGTGTAAAACATAAAAATTTGAATTATAAAAGAGCTCAAAAATGCAAAAAAGGATATTATTCTGATACTGGCCTTAATTCAGGTCTGAAAAGGTTAAAGAAAAGGCTCTGGGGTATATGTGTTTATTTCTCAACTTTCAGATGAGGCAGAGGCATACTAATCATACCATGTATACCTCAATCTTTCCTCTCAGCTCTATGAAAACTATAATATTCTAGCAATCAGAGTATACCCACAGTAGCTGTTTAATTAAGGTAGCTAGAAATTCATTGTTTTCATGGGGCCAAGAAGAAAGAAAGATGCATATTTGGTATGATTTCTAAGTCCTGGTGCTTTTTTCAAGTGTCACCTGGTATATTGTGGCATTCATCATTAATGCACATCATGCTCGAAAACTTAGAAATATTATCTTCCAACTGTTCTGGTAAGTATTTGTATGTTGAGTATCTTTCAGGGTTGCAATCTACTGCACAGTATAAATTCCTGCATCATTTGCAGTGTGAGACTAAAAGTTTAGCATTTTACCACTTTCAGTTGTATTTTAACAAAAAAAAATGTTCTTAATTTTGTTTGGATTTCCAGTATCCTTGATGACTTCCAGAATGTATGTGATAGGCTTGGTTAACTTCACTTTTTGATGGAGCACTATTGTTTCATCTTGCTGTCTTGGCTACAAATTTCATGCTAGTAGGCTTTGGCCTAGGTCTTAATATGAGATAGCTTAAGCAATCTATTGCAAGAAAAGGCAAGATGTAGTCTTGGGTGTCCTTGGTAAGTATACCAGCTGCTGCTTAGTTGCTCTCATGACAAAAAAAAAAGATACTTTTGGCTTATTCCTAGAATCCAATTTAAGATTGCATAAGGGCCATCCACAATCAAATCCATTTTTTTTCTCTTAAGGATATATTCTGGCTACAATGAAAATATTTAATTGAAACTTCATAGCATTCAATGTTTCTACCTTTTACTGCTTTTCAGGTGAATGCATGGGACCAACTTTTGATTAGCAATGGTGAAAAGATTAGTGAATTGAATGAGTCATTGAGTAGAGCAAAAAGTGACCAAGAAAGACTGGAAAATGAGTTGGATTACATAGCAAGTCAGCAGCGGGAGATTGAAGAGATCTTGACTCCATTAGAAGCTGCTGTTGCAGAGCCAGTTCCACTCAATGAATCCCATCCAGCTGACATTCAGAGACAAGAAATGTTCCAAGCGGCCTTGGAATTGGACACTCGTCTTTCAGGTACATTGAAAAAGGACTAGCTGTCTCCAGGCTGTGTTACCATTGAAGTCTACTATCTGTCATGAAGAAAATAATACTAAGAGTTTTTCCTTTACACCTTACCACAGTGATTGGCAAGTGAATTTCAAGGGGGTCAGATGGCAGAATGCTGCATGTTTGCAGGCCAACATAGAATCAACAGTAAAACATTACATGCACTTGGCTCATCTAATTGTTTTCTACATTCATATGTCAACTTATCTATTGGTATGATTTGTCTGACAGGACTGTACTTAGTTGGCATTTATGGGTAATTATTAGTATGTAAGTGTGGCTAGAAAATTTTAATCAAATTAAATGGTGTTTTACTGGTAGCTCCAACAAAGATAATTGATAAGTGGATGGATTGAATTGAACCTTTCAATGAATGTTAGTCAGACATGCAGCTAAAACATCTAATGTCTGACAGAAATTGCAATAGCTGAACCAGAGGGGGAGGGCTTTTGCAGGCCAGAACTGGCCTACAGGCTACCTGTTGCCAACCACTGCCTCAGAATATACTCAATTTCTTCACTGTAATGAACCCAAGAAAAGAAGTTTCAGAAGGAGTAATAAAGGGGTAGGGGATGGTAAAAGGCAGTTCAAATGGGAGTCCTTAGTAAAGTACATTTTGTCTTCAATGCATTTCAGGAATGGCAGAAGATCTGAAAGAGATCATTCAGGTGGTGAATGCGTCAGCTACAGCAAAACAAGAAGATTCTTCAACACCATTACGGCAGTTGGCCCAAATTTTGAATGCTCACATGGATTCTCTTCAATGGATTGACCATAATTGCTCCCAGCTCCAAGAACAATTGGATCAACTGAATCATCTGGTGAAGGGTGGACTCTCCCTCAATTCTGGTATCAAATAGAATTCACCTTGTTAAACTTTCCATTTCAATAAAGATGCCAATGATGATGATGGAAACCAAAGTAGCTCTACTTCATGTAGAATATAAATATGTACAAAAAAATTGCTGAAAGAAAAGCCTCAATAGAGTATTGCCATTCTGGGAAAGCTCATCAAGCTGAGAGATAAGTCAAGTTGCATAAAATTCAATCATTGATTCACATGAACAGAATCTGGATTAAAGCAAAAAACAGAAAGCATCTCCACATGTATACACTCACTCATACACAAAAGAGAGAATAAAGGGATGGAAGAGAGCTATCACAATGCAGGTTTGCTGAACTTGCAGCCACCATGCCAGAGTCTTTGGCTTCCTGATTGGACTTCTTCAGGCTCTGGATTTTATTTCCTATCACTTTTCAAGATGGTCTGGAATGGATTTTGCCCTTTCCGCCATGGCTTCTTCTTCCGAGTCTTCTTGTCATCTTGAAACCAATGATGTCAAAATTTTCACATTCAAATCACCATTTAAAAGTTACAGGTCTATTTTTTTTTAACCCTTTGACTACAAAATTTTATTTAGGCACTATGAGGAAATTTTACAAATTTTTGTCCTATTGATCTAAAGGGATTTTGGAATGATATACTAATTTATTCATTTTAAAAAATCACAGAGTCAACCAAACATAATAAATGACCCATCATGATGGCACACAGAATATTTGAAGCGCATTGGGAAGACTATCGTGATGGTTCACAGTAGTAAGAGAGTTAATAGATGAACACAACATACCAGGTTTGGCTTCCAAACATGCAAGCCATTCATCGAGGCTAATTTTGCGATCTCCATCCACATCACAGAAACGAGGTAATTTCCGCCCACACCTTCTCAATCCCCGAAATTCAGATACCCAACGCCGAAAGATTTTCCACTCTTTCCTATCCAGCATCTACAATGAAAAAAACAAAACCACCATGTCAACACCACTAAACTTCATTTTGAGTAGGGGAGATCAGGATACAAAGGGGTGCTGGATTTTTGTTGTCATAAAACAGAGCTTCTGGTAAGTCAGTGAAATTAAAAAATGATTGTGTCTTTTCTTCATGTTGAAATAATTGACAGACCAAATGATGCTGTTTATAAGTTTTCTTTGGCAGATTGACTCATAATTATATACTATACACAAGCCACTATCCTGGAAATACAGGGTGTCCCAAAAGTCCCTGTACAACTTTGAAATTAAATTAAAAATTAACCATAAGAGTTAGAACTGATCTGTTTATTGCATCATAAAATGCATCTCAAAAAGTTTTTTTTTTTTTTACAATATTAGAATACAGAAATGCATGCTCTGTGTTACATGGAGAATGTCAAGGACTAATTTCTTGCCATGTTCACTGTAACATGTCCACATCAACATTCCTTATTGCATCGCGAATTCTGTTCATCAACTCCTCAATGTTCACTTTTGTATGGTATACTTCGTCTTTCACATAACAAAAGTGAACATTGAGGAGTTGATGAACAGAATTCGCAATGCAATAAGAGATGTTGATGTGGACATGTTACCGTGAACATGGCAAGAAATTAGTTATCACCTTGACGTTCTCCATGTAACACGGAGCATGCATTTTATGATGCAATAAACAGATTAGTTCTAACTCTTATGGATAACTTTAAATTTAATTTCAAAGTTGTACAGGGACTTTTGGGACACCCTGTATAATTCCCAAGATAGTGGCTTAGGTATAATAAAGTAATAATAACTTTCTGCTCCACTGAGCAGAAAAAATAGGTTGCAAGTTATTAGTCTTTTTTTAGCCATACCCAGCATGTATATAGAGAGGTGATAATAGGGAGAGAAGGAACTGACTCTGTTTTCATTCTTGTCCAGAAGATTGAATTCCCATCTTGCAGCCCTTTCTTCAATTGTCTGCTCAGGATCAGGTTCCCTGGGTGAACAGCACCAGAGTTTATGAAACCAATAAAAGGCAGCTGCAATCCCTCTACATTGTTATTTCAGGTATGCACTCACGTGATGGAATCATTTTGAGCAGCTTTCACCATATTTTTAGTGAAGATATCCATCAGCTCCTCCAAAAAACGTTCTTTCTTCTTTCCTTTGCAGCCTAAATGCCATTATAAGTCAGTAATTCCTCTAATCTTGTAAATGCTGGACATAGTTTTCACAAAAAAAGGGTACTGACCTTTTATGGATTTATTAGGTTGTGCAGGAGAAGCATGGGAGCAGTCTGGTTTACTGCCATTGACTGATGTTCCTGGGATGGGCTTCCCTGTTTCTTTTTCTGTACACCAGCAGTAACCTATAAAAGAAATATGGTGAATATGAAGGTTGGACAACCTTTCCCACAGTTAAATCATTGAATCATAATCAAAATAGCAGACTTACCTTGATAGCACTGAACCCTCTCATATTGTCCATCAATTGTGCAACTAGGAATATAAAGCTCTTCTCCTTCAGGACTTTCACGTTGAGTCTCTAATGCTGAGTCTCTTTCACTGGCACAATTGTTTCCTGCAAATAAATCCTTGCGAATTAAACTGATGCTGAGTGCTAGAATATGATGACCTGATCTGTATTATATGATTACTCTAAATTAGAAATGTAATGAGTCGAATAAAATATAAGAATTTAGTATGAATGGGGTGACATACTGGTGCTGTCTGTATCATCTTCATGATCCTCCTCATCAGGATTAGAATCATGAAGTTGAGTAGAAGGACTTGATTTCAGACCCAGTGCATCTGCCTCTCCTCCACCTCCACCACCACCTCTTCCTCCTCTTCTTCCTCCTCTTCCTCCTCCTCCCCCTCCTCTTCTTCCTCCTCCTCCTCCTCCTCCTCCTCCTCCTCCTCCTCCTGCAACCCATTCAAGAATGAAACTTTATCATTCTACTCATTTTGGTTCAATTGCAAATAATTTTAGTTGGAAGCCAGAAGAGTCAAAGGCTGTAAGGGGGAGAGTGAAGGAAATTTGCTATATCAAGTCCCTTGTAGGACTCACCATGCAAGGGAGGGGGAGGTGGTCTTCTGAGGAGTGAAAAAGAGGATGGGCTTCCTTGGTCATGACCACCACCATGACCACTCAAATGCTCTTCCGAATGCAGGGACAGGAACAAGCGGAATGATACTGCCAAATGCCGATGGATCCATCCGTTGATCAGGCAAACACACACATACACATGCATTCCTTCTATCTATGCATCTATTACTCCACTCCAAGCCAACCTCTTATTCTAACTGCAGTCCCATTCCTACTCTGTTAAAGTGAGGCATACAAATTTAGACCTGGTTCACAACCTACAAATTGCAATACAATGATGATTCAATATGACCCAAACCAGACAATTTCTCCACAATGCAAGAAGTACAAGCTTTGCATGCAATTTCCAAACATGAGCAATATATATTTCATTCAGGCTCGTGTTTATCTATCATTTAACACATGATATAAAAATGAAAATGAAGATTAATGGATATAATTGCCATGAGAACAGTTCAGACAGACATAGCTTCCTATCTACAGGGTGGCCCAGAAGTAATAGGGCTGTTAGTGGTACAATCAGCAGTCACTACAATTTTTATTTGCAAAACTTTCTTGTTTTATCGACCGGTCAAACTGCTCTCTAAAACGGCTAATTTTTTTATTTAAATAAATAAATAAAAATAATAATAAAATTATACAATTATAAAATAATAATAAAAATTGTAGTGACTGCTGATTGTACCACTAACTGCCCTATTACTTCTGGGCCACCCTGTAGTTGGTGATTTTGAAGGAAGTTAGACATTCATCATGTGACTGGGAATATGAATTGGGTCTCCTTCTTCAGACCTGGGTGACGTGCATGTGCCAAATCCTATAGGTTTTATTTTTTCTGTGTCTGAGGAAGCTAATGCCATCTCCTCACTGCACTTGAAGACAAGATGCAAAAATGTCTATTTGGATTGATAAACATTCATTCCATTATGAAGAGTTACACTTACACTGCCACATCAACTGAAGAGTAATCTCTTTGCATATTTCCCTTCTTCCCTTAATTCTGCTATTTCATTGTCATTTCTTTCCTCCCCCTTCCACCACAATGGTTTCTGACCTCATGGGAGGCATACTTACTTTCTTGGGTTTTCTTGGTGATGTGGAAAAATGAATTGAAAATTGAGTTTAAAATCCAGTAATTTCGCTAGCAAATATATTCGCTAGTAGTGTATTTCGAGTGAAGACTTGCTTTTCCCCATGAGAGGATTAGAGTTTAGTAAACGAGTTTCACCCAAAGCAGCTGAGGGAAAAATTTGCACACAAAGAATTCCAATGATAAGTCCGTCTCTCGTGATGTTAAACCATGCTCGTTATTTTTCCCATTAAGTTGCTAGTTCACGAATCCTAATCAGAAATGTTCTTCCTGTTGCTGCTGCATTGCAATGACAATACTACGACACAATCTGTTCTTAGTTTTCTGAGGCGGAAACAGAGAGGTTGAAAGCCGACTGACAACGTTATATCATACTGGTAAAGGTAGACAATTTGTGCTGCCGCAACGATTTCGGTATAATAATAAAAAAATGTCTTGAGTTGAAGCAGAGACTGATCAATTTTATCACTTTTGAGGAGGCAACTTCCCAGGAAATATCAGTTCTGGGCCGTCTACCACTGACCTTTCGTTGCATCGCATCCGACGTTTGTGGACACGTCTGATGATATTTTGTATCACAAGACACAAAAGATTGACATTGTAAGCTACCTGTAATTTTATTCTTAATGTGATGTCCATGAACAAGGACTTCGTGTCCTAATGGAAGTCGTTTAGTAGGGAGCTGTAATAAGTATATAGATAAATAAACTGTGCATCCTATGCGACAGCCAAGAATTGGACTAGCTAAGTCAAGCGGGATAAGGCTTGGTGATGTTCCAAGGTTGGATCGCCCTAGTGATGTTACCACTAATGAAGATGCTTAGCAGGCAGAAAACTTGGCGATGTTAGACCGTCGAATCAAACCGTGAAATCTATCAAGGAATCGGCATCTCCATACAACTCAGTGAAGAGAATCTTCCCAAGTAGCACGTAGGTGGTGGGCCACCACCTACGTTTGGGGAAGAAAGCTGGTGGCCCACCACCTTTACTAGGTTGTGGGCCACTAGGTACTTGTCCCACTTGCCAGCACTTGTCTGCCACCTTCCTGGCCGCTAGAGGGCTAGCAAATCACCAGTTAGCTCGTATGGGATGCATCACCAGGGTCCCATTCCACAGAAGATTTACAAGCTACAAGTTACAAGTCTATTACTTGTAGAATCAAGTTTCTGTTCCACAAAAGAAAATTGTACAAGGAAGATTTACAAGTACAAGTTCATCCATTTACAAGCGAATTGAGTTTGGGAAAATGGATTCTGTTCCACAGAGCCAGACGTTTTACAAGTACAAGTCTGAAGACTTGTACTTGTATCTCTAATTTCCACAAGACTTTCATGCCTGGCAAATGTATTTTCTGCACTCCTGTGTCTAACGGAGACGATGGATTTTCCTGTTGTGACCATTGCATAGGACAATATAGGCATAGTTATAATGTGGTACAATAGAGTAGAGTTGGGCTTATGTGATTACGTCACAAAAAACTTGAAAGAATAAAATCCAGCGCCGCAGGGAATGAAATACCTGACTACAAGTATTGCTAGCTAAAGAATGATCATAGCAACTTTTCTTGGCGCCCTCTATGATAGAATTAACCTTGAATGTAAGTGTGGACTCTGTTGTACTACCAATGGACTCGAACAGCTTCCCCACTTTATTGGGCATATTCGAATGCACCCTATCTGGAATACGTAGACTCTGACCTTCAGGCCAAGAGATGGCATATTCGAGCTCGTTATATGAGATATCCATACGCTTTCATTGATGAAACCTCTATTGGTGTCATTTCACGAGTGCTACTCGATAGAGAACTCTGGAATGCATTCTGAACTTGTAATATGAGCTGGCTTCAGTGCCTTGTACTTTTCGATTTACAAGCACTAGCGCTAACTGTGGAACAGAAAATACAAATACTTGTAAATACAGCCACTCCGCTTGTAGCTTGTAAATCTTCTGTGGAATAGGCCCCAGTTGGGAAGGGACCTAATGCCCCCATGCATATCCGATTCACCTCTAAAACATGGAGCTCTAGCCAACTCAGGAGTCAATCCAAGAGTACAAAGATGACCCACTACTCTCCTCTTTCGCATCCAATACGTAACCTGAGGGGATGCGCATGAGTCTACGAGTACCGTGTCACACCACATAGAAGACATGTTTATGATATTAGGGAACTTCAGCAATCTACCCTTCCCTAGTCCCGTTCACTTCTGCATCCCCATACTTATCAGCATTTAAGAGTTCCCCGAGTCTTATATTGCAATCAAAGCATCATAATTCCACGCTTTCCTCATATATATTGTATTTGTTTATAAATTGACAATAAAAAGAGAAAAGACGGAAAAGAAACACTTGCTAAATCGGGAAGGCAGGTAGGTACCCAGGGCCGGATTATATAGTTGCGAGGCCCGAGGCAAGTGGATTCCTGCCCCCCCCCCCTTTACGCAAATTTAATTTCCTTCCGGGGGGGGGGGGGCCGGAAGAGTGGGGAGCAACGGCCCCCTTTGTCCCCCCTCCCCCCTTAATCCGGCCCTGCAAGTACCTAATTGCATTTGTAGGGTGCAGGGAACATGGGTTCCATGGTGGGGATTCCTGATACTGCATCTGAGGGAGTACCAGCTACATTATGGGAAGGTAGCTGGTGGCCCTCAACTTACAATAGGTAGCGGGCCAGCAACTGCATGTCCCACTTGCCACCACGTTCCCTCTCCCGGTAGAAATCCGCCAGTAATAGTTTGAGTCGCCTATGGCCCACTACTTTTGTGCTACTGGGGCTGCATGGAAGCCTTCAGATGACAAAGCTCGTTGGCCACCGAAAATGCCAAATGAAAGGCAGTGGTCAATGGAAAGGCACACTATCGTCGTCTCATCAATTTGGAAGACCATGGCTGTAGTTTTAAGTTTGCATAAGGTGTCTTTCGGGTCAACTGTCAATCCAGGAAAACTACATCATATAATGACTTCTTTTATTTAAATTGCTGCACTAGGTAGACTGCTTCTCTTTGGTCGCGAGTTTGCACTTTTGGAAATAAATTATTTTAGTCGTACATATAATTTTGCATTGCTCCTATTAACCCTGTCCCAGTTAAGAAAAACTTTTTTTTCCCCTCCTTCCCCAACCCCCAAGGCGAGAAGAGACAAAAAAAAAGTTTTTTCTTAACTGAGACAGGGTTAATGATTTGATAAAATTGCCAGGTGACCCCTGCACCCCCTTAACTGGGAGAGGACGGAAGTTGGAAAGAGGGGCCATCGGCATGGGCTGCAAAACCTTTATAAGGCCATACTTGACTCCGAGAACTGAAATAAACTTTCTTAGAAATATACCTACCGTTGAACGGATTGATTGTGGAATAAAATGCCTTATTGGGATGTACGGCCGATGATGAGAGGATGTTTCCTTCGATATGCCGATGCGGCATTTTTCTGTATGGAATTCAGTTCTGATGAACGAAAACGGGAATCAATTTACCAGAGCTGAAACGAGTTTTCACTTATTCTTCCGCCTGTTTACAGATTGCTAAAATGAATTACAAACCATGTTAAAACCGATTTAGATTTTTTTAAAGTTAAATAAATAGAAAGAAAATAAATTCGTCTCGACGGCTCATAAAACCAGCTGGCTTTGCATGTGAAGATACCAGTCACGCTTCTAGGAACGGTAGGCCTAATCGCTGAGCATGAAAGGATAAAACGAGCCTGAATGAACCTAGCTCACCTAAGTTCCCCATTCCTACGAGGAGCGCAACTGGTGTTTCAAGTTCCTGAAACCATTAGCGGATGCACTCGCTCGTCTAAGACTGGACAAAGACCTGCCTCTTGAAACCATGCTGATGAAACCTCGGCTGCCATGCAAAGCGAGGCCTACGTTCGGGCATGGAATAAGCAGTCGAGGCCTTCCAGCTTTTTTTTTTCTATGCGTAGCCTCGAAAACGCCAAGATTTGAGAGACGGCTGGAACTCACTGTTGTCGACAGCCAGGCAATTTTTCCACTCTTCTATGGTCAAAACCTCGTTGTTGTCCGAATCACAGTATCGCATCAAGGATTTCGCACAGCGACGAGGCTTTACAAACTGTCTCGAACAAAATAAATCCTCATGTCACCAAGCTGGACAGGGAACATTTTCATTTTAAAGAAATTTTGAGATTAGTAGGTAGCATGCCTTTTTGGCCAAGCGTCGGAGATCCCTGTATTCCTTGCGGCGGAGGATTCCGTCGTGATTCCCATCAAGCTCTCGAAATTTCCATTCTAGGACAGTCTGATCTAAATTGCTCACCACCGATTCCACCGACGCTATATGGAAACCATTCATTATTTTTTCGAAATTCCCACGATTGATCGGGAGGAACTGTAAGCCTGTGCGTACCTTTCTCGGTGGTAGGCTGAAGGATTCTCTGGTATTCAGTCATGAAGATTTTTATCAAGTGGTTATTGAATGCCGAACGATCAGTAGGGGTACAGCCTGTAAAGGTTTAGCAGAAAAAAAAACAGCATCAGAATCTAGATCACGACGCAAAAAAAAAGTATAATAAAAAAGTAAGTAGAGGCGACGACTCATACCTTTCTTCCTCCTGTCTCGAGTCCCGGACGACCTCGTGGCTTTGTCTGAAACAAGGAAAAACATCGCTCCATATAATTGGAATGTCGTGATGGAACGATAAGAGAGGTTAGAAGAAGCGAGAGGAAGAGACTGTTTCTTGCGCAGCTGGGTCTCCTGTATTGTAGGGCGGATCCTGGGATGACCTTGCCGGTCTCACTGACACACCAGCAGTACCCTGTCCCTCGGTGACATTGCACTTCTTGAAAGCGTCCATCATCCATGCATTCCGGAATGAATGTCCCCATCTTGTGATCCTTTGAAACCTTCTGTGCATACGCCCGTTGATCCCAACACCGGGTCCTCTCTACGCACAGACGAAAAGGGAATACCAAGTCAAGAATGCTGAAACCAATAAACGAACAATGCTACGGATGGAATAAAAGGCTCTGACCGGGACATTTCCCTCGATGTTTGAGGGTCACTTCATGACCCTTACACCTGGCCGATTCCAGGTCACATTCCGAACTATAGGTCGTGCCATCTGTCCCACACACGGGATTATGTTCTTCCTGCCAACAGTCTTTGGAACAGTCTCTCACCTGGAGGAAATGAGAGTAAATCACCTAATCCATCCATGTCATCGAAAAAAGAAAGACTGGAGGAAGAACTCGAGGGAGGCTGGATGTCACTGATAAAAGGGGCAGAAGGAGCAAGGAGGGCAAATGACAATGCTAGGAATGCAAGGCGGAATCTTTTCTGTTCGACAGGTGTCCATGGGGTCTCTATGGCCCTTCGACCCCCCTATAAGCCGTCATAATCCCCCATGTCCCATTGGGGGGTCCCATGCCCCTGGTCTGGCCAGACAGCACGGCGCCAACATCGGACCCGCCCATTATATTTCCACCTCGGTTTTTTTTTCCCTCCAAGGAATATGGATTCCTCCATTTTCTTTTAATATTCATTGCCCCCCCCCCCCCCCCCCCCCCCCCCGCCCCTGGACTCACGTCGTCCGTCTCATCCTCATCTTTCTCATCTTTCCCCGTTCTACCTCCACCTGCCTTTCTCTTCTCACCAGTTTGTTGTGGTTTTTGTTGTAATTGTTGCTGTTGTCGATGTCGCATCCAGGGTTTTGGCTTTCATCAGGTTTCATGTGTGAGGAAGGGGGACATCAGATCAAATTCATTCGATCAAAGCTTTAGTGACGACGGAAGTACGAAGAACGGGCTTGTCAAGTGACTTCCTGTTGGAATCAAGGAAGCATCCGGCTTCCTTTTCCCTTCATTTTTTTCCGCAAAAGATCTCTCTCCTGCTCAAGAGGGCGTCAGGAATTTTATGGAAAAAAAAGGGAGGGAGAAGAATTTGTGGTGATTGAGGAGGGGGCCGAGGGCCGAACACCTGTTGGCTACATGCAGCCATTCCACTCAGAGCGAGAGAGAGGGAGAAGAGAGAGAGAGAGAGAACTGGTATGATATCTTGAGCATGAAACACCTGGGCGGGTCGAGAAACGAGAGAGCAAGCAATACACATCACGGACAAAGAATCGGCTACTATCACAATAGGGTATGACGAGAACAAGGAAATTGTCTCACCTGAGAACATCGAATCCCTTCGAGCAACAAGGTCAAGAAAAGGAGGATGAACCCGTACCTCTTGGCACACATTTTCCATCCACAATTCATGGTCCTTTTCACTTTTAGGTGGAAAAGTTGTCAGCTCAGGAGTACGGACTCGAATTCGAAATTTTAGCTTCTACAAAATAGGGGAGAAAATCGTAAAAATCGATAAGGATGATGACATCAGGAGAAGGAAACGATTGGGTTCGATTGGGAACACAATATCTCATCAAGCGTTGAACCTAAAGGAGCATAACCAAAACGTTACTATTTCGGTAATGCCACTGTGAAATCCTACAACTACGATGTAGATGTCAGGCTTTCAAGTGGACGGATGGGATGAGCAGTACGTTAACACATCATTCTACGCACCGAGCTCACGTCTTCATTATGGAGAGCGAGGGAACGTCTGTACGTCAAGTGCCAAACACGTGTGAGCCTTCCCTCACTGGCTCCAATTTTTAACTTCTATTTTTTGAGGGCAGGAGTAACACAGGAAGGATTAGTACTCCGCGCTCTGCGGGGGTTCACGGCGCTTTGGTAGCCAAATTACTAATGAAATGGGGATGACACGTGCAATTCACAGCTCACACACTCAACAACGACGGGGAGACACGGTAGACACGAACAAGAGAGGAGAGCGACGTGGCCTGGAGAGAGGCCGACAAGGGAATGGCGAGAGAAGTGAGGCCAGCGTCCGCCGTTCCCAGACACCCTGGCGCCTCCCTGCGTGTGAGAGTGCGACCACCAAAGCAAAGCAAGGGAAGGGAGTAGGAGCTGTCCAGGATGAGACGGGATTGATTTGTTGCACTCTTTCCTTTTCTCTCTTTCTCTCTCTCTCTCGCTCTGAGTGGAATGGCTGCATGTAGCCAACAGGTGTTCGGCCCTCGGCCCCCTCCTCAATCACCACAAATTCTTCTCCCTCCCTTTTTTCCCCCCCCCCCCCCCCCCCCCCCCCCCCTCCAGTCCCAGCTTATCTTATCGAGGGATCGGAATGAGGATGACGATGACCCACACCAGTCTAGCCCGGTATAGACTAGTATCATAGACCTGTAACAAGCCGAGCCCCAGCTCATCCTTGTCCTTCCTACCAACACGTGCACGGAGTGGATGATATTCGTGTTCGTGAGGAGAGAGAAGACTCATCTCTCATGTTATCCGCCCACAGGGACTAACTACTAACTAGGGATTCCAGACGCGCCCTGCATACATATCAGATGAAGGTTCTATAGAGAGGGAAATGCCCACGTCTCCTTTTCCAACAAAAAAAAAATTCCATTGCGTATCCCAGTTACTAACCTTTTTCTTTCTACCTCCACACTATCATTTTTTTCCTTTCTTTTCGTACGGCAATTTGCTGGCATATCCTCAGAAATGGCATCATCAAAGAGGGGGGTGAAAGAAGAAAGATCTCGGCCGCCGTCGGTCACAAGCAGACGACCGCTTCCATCGGATACTAGTTCAGATGAGAACCCAGGTCCCTGTGCAAATGGAAAAGATGTTGGCAAGAGCCGACAAGACTACCTAGAACAAGAGAGGAAACGACGTCGACTTCACAAGCGTCTGCGGAAGAGGAATCAGGTTCGTCTCCGAAGACAGCATTCCGACGAATACCCGTCGACAGACGAGAATTCCGTCAGCAGTCGAGCATTGCCCAGCTCGAAAGAAACGACTCAAAATGAGTTGCTTCTGGATCAAAGACTGTTTCTCGAGATGATGGAACAACGGCTGGCTTCCACACCTGCAGAGGAACCCTTCGCCTTTCCATCTCATCCGTACCAAATGGTGTCTATGGAAATGTCTAAACCGGGAACAAACAAGAACCTTACCAGGATGCGACATCGACAACAGCAACAATTACAACAAAAACCACAACAAACTGGTGAGAAGAGAAAGGCAGGTGGAGGTAGAACGGGGAAAGATGAGAAAGATGAGGATGAGACGGACGACGTGAGTCCCTTCTCGTGGATTCTCACTTGTCAAGTACGGAGTTATGACTTTGAGTACGTAATAATAACTAAAATACAGGAGCATGTCTGTTCCCAGTACCTGGAATCCCAGACAAACCCATGGAAACACAGAAGCACGAGGAGGTCTAAGACCCCGTTGACAAACTCCGAGAGTAGGAGGCGTCCTTTTCCCCAATATAGTGAGCTCTTTTTTTTTCCTTTTTTCATTATTTTTTATTTTTAACCCGGTGAGCCTGCGCTAACACGTGTTTTGTTATCATGAACAAGGATCACAAAGGCCTGTGCCGCCTTGAAACAAAAAAAGACCCAGGCAGCATTCTCTCATCGGCTTGGATAAACTGGAAAGCAGAGCAAATAATCCGAGGTGAAGTTAAGGCGCAGGTGTGCGTGAATGATGCGATCTTTCTGTTTTTCCTCCCGATACCTCCTCCTTTCTCACCTGGATGTTTGATATAATCGCAACACCTGGCCTGAACCAACGACGGCCGGAATTTCTTCTTAGTCGTAATCTGTGCATATTTCCTGTTCGTATGACAGACAACTTCTAAGAGCCTCTGCCTAGTAGCTTCAATCCATTCGGCGCCCCAGTAGCACGAAACGCAATGGGCGCAAACGCGAGCGGGTCTTGGTGTGCGTGTCAGCAGTTTGCTTACACGAGCATGCAATCCTTCTATATGCCTATTCGGGACGTTCTACGAACAATGCAGTCCCAGGAATGAATTAATAATGAAGGGAATCTATTCGAGCAGATCCACTTGATCGTGCTTGATGGACTCCATCCGGATGGATGGGAGGGTTGAGCATTGTAGCGCTGTTGAACGGACGAGAGATGGATAAATTTAGGCGCTCTTTCAGCACCTGTCTAATGGGTATTTTACTGTGACCAAGGTTAGAGTTCTCTCCTTGCACGGTCCCCATAACCTAGATGATGTAGCGGTTTCAGAATCGTTAACAGCCAAATAATAAAAAAAAAACTGGCAAAAGTGTTCAGTGAGCCCGCGGTGAGTACGTCATATACCCCCACATACAGCTAGGAACAGCAAACTCGTGACTAGCTGAACTAGATGTTGTTTAATGTATGGTAAATAGAGTAACTGGAATGGGCCATGTATTCCTTGGGAGGTTCGTTGGAATCCTGGCATGGCCGTGCAGGAGAGGGAGAGAACGAAGAGAACATCCTTCAGCTCCTCAACCTCTATAACGACAATGACGAGGAAAATGTTTTTCTCCTACCCATCCCACCCTCGCCTCACCGCTCTCTCCCCCTTATCCATGCTAGGTCCTTCCATCATATCACAGCGTTCGACGAGTCCTTCATTGACAGTGAGTGATACTGACATCATCCAATAGAAATATTTAAAAAAATTAAACCTGGGGCCTGGGTCCTTCGCATAGGCACGACGGAGGTAGAAATCATCATGACGGGACCTGGAGAAGAACCAGAAGGGAGGGAGGGAAACGGAGTGCCCATTCCTCGGCATGCGGACGACGGCTAGCCGTTTCTTGAATCGCATTCAGTCTGACCCATCGGAATAATCGGTGCGTATAACGTCATTCGTGAATGAAAATCAAGGCTCTGACAAATACCAATTTATTTTCAAAAGAATCTGAAACGATGGCACAGAAGGATATAGTTGAAGAAAATGTATTCCCAATGGACCAGCTTCTCATCACTGGAATTTTCAATGATAGGACACAAGGAGGCATTTATGTAGTTCACAGATTTAACAGCAGAAAAGCAGGAAAGAGGAAGGGAATGATGGAAACAAAAGAGCCATAGAGAGAACATGCTGGCAGGAGAATTATCACATGATTTTGTCTCTTCCCTTTTGGCTTGCTTCTTTTTCTTCCTCCAAAATGATTAGGAGCAAGCCTTGTTATCTATAGGTCCCTTTTTCACTGGGAACTGTTAACGCACTGCAATGAGCCCTGATTCCAGAAGCTTCTGAAATTTTGCTGCTATGTCTGGATTTTGAAGATGGCTGAAAGAGAGAGAGAGAGAGAGATAAAAATAATAATAAAAAACAATAAAATCATAACAAAGAGACACACACACGACATTGGAACTGTGAAATAAATATATGGCAAAGTTCATTTTGACATATGAGAGATGTGTGCCACAGGATGGTATTTCCCAGTGGACATTACACTATTGAAAACTTTCTCATTCCTTACCCCTTTTTCTTCCTCTTATCCCCATGGTGTCAAATGATTGCCAATCACAGATGAAATACAAGCACATGGATCCTGTGCCATTTAATCTGACACAGGCAGCATTAGTTTTCTCAGCCATTCTCATTTTACTTTGTCATTGGCCAGTCGTAATAAATTAAAAACTGTTTCCATGTAAGCATGGCCACCTCAAGTGGTGCTACAGGCTCTCAAGAAATCCATTGGTACAAAAAATTTGCATTCTATAACTGGTCAATTCCATTTTGCGATCTGTCAAAGTTTAGTAAAGAACAGACTACTGAATTGACCAATTTACTGACTGACAGTTTATTGCCAAATACCTCCCCCATAACATCTTTTTCCTCAACCAACCAAGAAAATGAACACACCCAAGGACCCAAGCAGATGAGTCCTCTGTTCACAACATTTCCAAGGTGGACTGGGATGAAGGACTTACTCTGAAAGAGCCTTGGGGTCATTCTGAATCTGTTCTAAGATTAATCGCATGGCTGGATCTTTGAGAATATTCTGGATTTCTGGATCAGCCATGGCTCGTTTCCGTACTTCCTCTGGATCAGAATTCATCTCAATCATGCACTGCCTGTAGCCATCTAAGGCCTCCTGTTGAAAAATAACAAAAATTCATTCTTCCTAACCCAGTGACTCATGTATGCAAGGTAACCATTTTCATCAGCAACATAAAACTATATAATTAAAAAAAGCACTCAGAGACTGGTGGTCTCTGAGTGGTTTTATGAAGTCTTGCAGGTTTAAATTTTGATGTGTCCTTTTATTGATAAAAATCATTCAAAGAAGCAAGTGTAACAATGCAAGATTGTATTCCATAGAAAGAGTCCTGCATCTGCATTATAGATGTTTGGAATATATATTTTCACACCTCAAGAAGCAAAGAATCACAGCCTTAAGCACATCTATAGATGATGTTACTCCATATACAAAAGGGATACCCCTTTAACCCTATATATGTAGATGCCTTCTATTATGATTCATTCTTATTTCCTTTTCTTCTCCCCCTATACCTTATACTCCCCCTTAACCTAAGATAACTTGTAACTTCTTGTACGTTGAGTGCACTTACATTACTTGAAATAAAGATACATCATTAAAAAGGCATGGAATTAGCTGACCTGGCATGTGGAGTCAATGTCCAGGGCCTTTTGGTATGCATCAAGGGCTTTGGAATGCTGTTGTAGACCCTGCAATACTTTCCCCTTTCTCAAGTAGCCCTTGACTGAGATTGAAGAAGGTACAGAAAGGAAAGAAAAGTCATCAACATTCATCCATGGAAATACAGAATCTTGCTTCTCCATGTGGAAGCCATATTTCACTGAAGCCTCAAATTCTTAATGTGCCTCTCTAATTATTGGCAAAAGAAAATAAAGGTTGACTTCAAATCAGTAGAAATAACAGAATCTAAGAAAAATCAGAACATTCTTCAAGTCTCCACATATATCAAACATTGGCATTCTTAGCCCAATTCAGTCCTTCAAAAAGTCCCTTAGCTAGGATTGCCTGAAAATAAAAAAGCCATTGAACCTGGTTGTCAATAACTTTTTGGTTGTTTTCCTTCTTTATAATAAATGAAGAGGGTTTCAATCAAAATTTTCTCCTATTAATAACCTATTTATCACCTGTCTTGGCAAATCAAAACTTTTCAAACCATTTTACATATCTTTAGAGACCTCTGCACTTCCTATGCCTTCTTGAGCTATCTTTTTATTTTATTTTTTTTTACCATAATTTTCTTTTCCCTTGAAGGCTCACCATCCAAAAATGTAATGACAGTAAATCACATCAAACTGGAGAACTTTCCAATAAACTGCAATTTACAAAGATGATAGGCTGAACTTACTGAATTTTGGATCAAGTCTGAGACACACATCGCAGTCTTTGAGGGCATATTCAAAGGCAGCCAATTTAGTGTAAGCAGCTGCACGATTGCTGTAGATCTTTGCATCCTCTGGATTCCTCAATATGGCTTCAGAGTAATGCTTCACAGCATCTGCATATTTCCCTGCAACATTGAAATTCATGTCATCAAGAAACCCTAGGAAGGTATAAGTCTGCAGACAATGATATAAGCTGCACATGAAGCTATATACAATTACTGATGTTTTGCAGCCACATATACGAGAGGATATTGAAAGTTTATGGAACAGCTGCATAGAAGCATCACAGCATAGCTGTGGCCATGGTTAAAAAGCATTTATGTTCTGCTGTAGCTTGATCAGTTGGCTCACAACATCAAGTGAAGAGAAGGAACTTAGTGTAGTTTCTACTTCCAAGAAAAGTTGATTCAACTAACCTTGTTTCCTATGGCAGCTGAGGACTATTTCCACTACATTAAAGCAATGGTGTGTCACTGAATTTTCTGTGAGACTAAAGAAATCAAGCTCAGAAAAAAATCTGGCATTTCACAGATGGCCACATGGATGTTGAAGGTGAATGCTTAGGGTCATCAACTGCGCATCAACTGCAGTCAATGATTCAAACTTCATAATCTGAAGAACACATTCATGAAGACCACTGAATTTCATTGAAATTCATTCAGTAGCATATATTGGTGCATCATTTGAGTGTGCTCAACAGATTGTAACATCAGAGTTGAAAATGAGCCATGTCTGTGAAAAGTGAGTACCCTACAATCTCTCTTGGGAGCAACAAGAAACTTGAATTGCAAACTGCTGCACGATGGCTCAGATGGCTAAAGATATGTTTCTTACAAGAATCACAATGTTGGATGAATCATGGATACAGCATTACAATTTCAAGAACAAGCAGAAGTCTATTGTTGGGAAACACAAAGATTTACCACTTCTCCAATAATTTTGAACATTCAACCAAAAAAGCTATGCTGAATTTTTTTTTTGCTGTCCAAGGAATTGTGTTGTAGGATTGGGTTCCAAATAAGCAGACAGTCAATGATTTATGGAATATTACACCATGGTTTTACAGACACATCTGAGAAGTACTTTGAGGGAAAAAATCCCAATCTGCTCAATCAAGGCTGGTTTCTTCAAGACAATACCAGGTCTCATATTGCAACAGCAGCTGTAAATGTTCTTAAAGAAATTGGTGCCACTGCCCTGAAGCAACCCTCACACAGCCTTGATTTAGCTCTGAGTTTTGGGCATTTCCAACACTGAAAATAAGTCTAGAAGGCCAGCAATTTAACAAAGATGAAGAAGTGAAAAAAGCCATAGCCAATTCAGATTAACTGTCACAAGATGGCCTTCAGAGTGTTTTTCAAAAATGGTTGGAATGCTGCCAAAATTGTATTGCCAGTGAAGGTTGATACTTCAAAATGGGAACTGTCACCAAAGCTCCAGATACTCTGCAATAAAAGGTAAGGTTGTTTCACAAAATTTCATTTTCACATTTCACAAACTTTTCAATATCCCCCGATATTTGTGTAAGATGGATATCAATATCTGCTTTCACTGCCAATGACATGGGTCATGAAGTGGGAGGCAATACTAAATACAAAAGCATTTAGTGTCTCCAGTTTCCCAGTAAAAAGTTCACCCTCCCACTTGCAGAACTGCATGAGGCATGTCTATGTTATTCATTCTCTACAATGCCAAAGTATACAAGGCTAGGGCTCTGAATAAACAATTTAAAACATTACTCACCCTCTTGGAAGCACTTATTTCCCAAGTTTCGCTCTTCTTCTGCCTTCTCAGGGCTGATATATGATTTTCTTTCCTCTTCCTTGATGATCTTTTCTACCTCAGACAATAATTCTCGAGTCTCAGGAGTCCTATGCTCTGACAAGGCTTTCTCATAGAAGATTTTGGCATTCTTATAATCCTGCAATATAAATATAACTCTTCATTATCTTCTGCTTCAAGCACAAAAGGTTCTCCCAGAGTAAGCAATAAAGGAGAATTCTCACTTTCATATTCTTGTAGGCATTAGCAATACGAGTGAAGACCTTGCCAATGAGCTTGTAGTCTGCTCGGCTTTCCCGACCAACTTCAACTGCTTTCTGACATGTCTCCACACACTTTTCATACAGCTTCTGCTCAAAGTACACCGCTAGGAAAGAGGGAATATTACCCAATTGAAGATGAGTATTTCTTAACTAAGAAAAAACATCTGAAGCAACTGGATTTTTTTTTTTTTTTTAACAAGTAAACCACAATCTTCTATTCAAGATATTGTTCCAACAAAAACAAGGCAACAGGAAAAACAAATGCACTACTTTCATATACTTCTACTGCTCCAGGAAAATAATACTGAATGCATTCTCCAGTAAACTCTACTTGGGGGGCTGGCAAATTCCCAATATCTGATAATCAATTAAATATATTTTGCTCTTGAGAGAAGAAGCTTTGCCTTTTTATCATCACATATGAGGAAGATAACATTACCTCCCAATAATTTGCAGCACTTCATAACACAAATATATCTGTCCTAAGTTTTCATTTGGGACCCTCTCATTAACTTTACAAGCATGCAAGTTCCTTTTTTTTTTCTTTTTTTTTTTTTTAATCTCTTAATACTGGCAAAATACACCTTTTCTATCAGGTCCTTCATTAGAGACCTCTTCCTCTGCACAACTCATTCTGTGTTCCAAGTTTGCCTCAAATTCAGAGCTACTGCTGATATCATGAACAAGTCTACAAGTTTTTTTGCCTTCGCTGATAATGCTTCTCCTCAACCTTTCCAATGGGAAATACTTTGCTGGTTACATAACTGCTTTCTTAATTTTCACTCTTTAAACATGAGAATCAATCTGCAATAATTTTCATGTGAATCATATTACCCATGAAATGCTTCATATGAATCATGATCATGTGCAAAAAAAATGGAGTTTCACAAAATCCACAAAAAACAAAGAATTTCATAGCATTTTTTAAAATGAAAGTTTGGTTTGGTGGTGCTTCCAATGAGCAAATGAAGACTCAATCAGTTATAAACCAATCCATACAGGAAAATCCCAGAGATATCTCCTTGGGACAAGTGAGAAGTCCCATAGATAACTACTATACCTCAACTACATCAAAATATTCGGGTGCCTTTCTTTCTGAAACAGACTCATTACTTGCCACATTGGACAAGCCTTCATTTTTAACCCCTTAACTGGGAACTTTTGAACGCATATGTGCAGTGATTCCATTGAGAGAAGGCAGGTGCCAGACCGCACATGAGGCGAGTCCATTTAAGGGGTTAAAGGGTTGTTCTGTATAGTGTTCTTCGACTGAAGAGGTCTGAGACATCTTTATGAAGTCCAGAAGATACCCCTTTCAAGATGTCCTTAAAATATCCCAGAAAGACCTTGGGACATCCCTGGAATGTCATCGTGCTATGGGGTATAACCATACTGTGATGATAAGGATGGCATTGAGAGGCACGACTGAATGTCCTGGGTTCAGTGGTGTAATGGTAGCACACCTGACCGGCAATCAGGAGGTTCACCGTCCTTTGGCTTTCTTTCATCCTCTCCTGCCATCCAATCTTCCCCTCCCTGCCATTCTCATGACAATACCATATAAATTGTAAACTGTACCTTATGTATATAGGATATATATTTCTAACAACATATTTTGCTATGAAAGCATGCATGCTGAATATGTATATACAATAAATAAAAGTCCTTTATAAAAATCATATACTTAAGCCAGATTCATCATTTAAGCAGGCGCCCATCCCTCAAACCACAGAATTATTTTATATAGAATATATATGCTGCCCAGGCATGTTTAAAACATTAATAACCCTTATATGGATCATATGCTTCAACCATATATACCCTTATACAGGGTGGGGAAAAAATCAGGGAACAAGGAGATTTTTGAGGAATTTAATTTTCAAAGCAATGGCAGCACATTTCCATTTCTCTTTTTCATCAATTTGGCCTACACAAGTCCAGTGAAGAGTGCTCCTGCTACATCCACTGACATTGGCTGCAAAATAAACAACTATTACTCATCTTGAACAAGTATGGCAATTTTGGTGATAATGTGTCAAGTTCATCACTGTTCATGTTGGTTACCTCCATGCTTGCACAATTTTGCCATAATTTCACGGACAACATTTGAAAGCAATTTTTGACTGAGTGTTGTGAAATAATGCAAGAATGGTGTATTAAACCAAAAAACAAGTGGAGTTGATGATTTATGCAAAAGCAGATAACAGTTTACAGCAAACTACTATGATTACCATGAAAGATACCCTAATTATTTATTTATTAGACTGCTGATCTACTGCATTTAGGATTTGATAGAATTCTGAAGAACCAGCAGAGTTCTTGATGCAAAAAAAAATGTTGGCACAACAGGAGGAGCCAGTCAAACAGCAATGCTGGCCCTTGTCTATACAGCTGCAATGATCAAAGCATGAGATGTTGAGAACTGTGGGCATTAGTGAAGGTCAATAAGAAATTTAATTTTTCAAATTAGTTCTTTATTCCCTGACTTTTGCCTCACCCTGTATATGTATTTTCATATTTTAATACATGAAAAATATATGAATTTATAAGGCACAGATAATTGCATATAACTACCATACATGATCTTTCCATACGAGAAGTGCTGTGATTTATATTACCCCTAAATCTTATTCCTCCAGCTTCTATTAATGCTGAGCACTTGATATCTGCCTGGCCTAAACCTAAGCAGCCATTTCTTTGACCATATATAGTGTACTTAGGTCTTGCTGCAGTAGGATGCTGTCAGCCTGACTGAATCTTACAGTAATCAATGTAATCACTAGCAATAAGCTTGACATGCAAGGGAATACTCCTGAGATGTCATTGATGAATAGCAACAAGAGTGGTCCTCAGACTGACCCTCATGGAACCCTGGATATTACAGTGCTTTCTTGAGTTCCTACAATCTTTGAATGTAAGTCATTGATTTCTATAAATTTACCAACAGTGGTGCAACTAACATTTCCTCCAATCTTGTATATGATGAGAACTGGTATTTAGTAGATGTCAGAGTCAAAACACCAGTAGCACCAGTGCCCTTATTGAGGGGGGGGGGGAGTGAAGTCATTGTGAAAGCACCATACAGGTATCCAGTTGGACTCTGTTCTATTCACTGAGACTCCATTTGTAATCAATGATAAAGTTTTAGTTCCATTAGAGAGGAGAGCCCAATGAAATTAGAATGGAATGGTAGCCTTCAAATAGGCTCTCATGTGCACATCTTTCAAGTGGGTACTAACTTAAATCTTGGAAAACTGAACGAGTTTGGTATTGAGTACCAATTCACAGTTTGTTTCTAATGCATTTCATATTAAAATAAAATCATATTTTTGTACCATTATTTCTCAGACAAACCTATATATGACTTGAGACACCATCCTTTTCATGACAACTGGGATAACTGATTCTTCTTTTGCAGCACTGATAACAGTACCAGGATAGGCAGGTCATATCTCCCAAGTCATTGTATACCAGTTGGTGAAAATATATGGATATATTTAGTTACTGGCTGTATCCAGGGCAAATACCTCATTTCCAGCTTCATCACTTCATGCAACATGTAATCATTGGGTTTAATAGCTACTCAAGACATGGCTTAAGTGAATGAAAAAAAAAGAAGCAAGGGTGTGGGAAGGGATGAAACCTGTTACATCTAGTATTGATGTCTCAGTCATAAGCCATTAGGCTGATAGCTTTTCCTCTTGAGAAAGGGGCAAACAAAATGAATTTTAAAATAACTATGCTGTCTTGGACATAGCTGGATCCAGGGAAGTCCTACATATAGCCATTATCACATATTAGTGCCACCTGCTCACCACTGCTGACACTTGATCCACCTTGTGGAAGAAAGACACTAGTGGGCCTACTTGTGAATGAGCACACATGAAATGGTTAAGGGGAGTGACATGAAATGGAAACTGACCACCCATGTTGGACAAGAAGGTCATTTCAGTTGGATCCAGCTTTGCAGCTGCCTCATAGTGTTCCAATGCTGCTTTAAAGTCCTTTTTCTTGTAAGCTGCATTTCCAAGTTCCTTCTCTTTCAAAGCCTGCAAGTAATGGTTCACAGTTGAAGTGAGACCCAGCCTAGTTTGGACTACCTACTAAGCCTAACACGAGATAGACTATTCATTCAGTTAAACCTGCATCTAACGTTAGCTAGGTTACAATAACAGCAGAAACATAATTTTTTTAAAGTAGCTCCAACCAATGTGCAACATTTATCCCAAGTTATGAGCCTAAAATTGAGGTCTAATAGAAGAAAGCCTGGACATTGAGCCAAGTCGTGCAATAAGAAACTCACTGATGTTACGGAGTCTCCCATCTTTGAACGTAGGCCTAGCGTATATGCTGAAAAGCAGATGCTCGTGAATGCGAAACACACACCAACGAGTTAATGCGTCATTAACCAGAGAGCGCACTGTCAAGATAATATTTGTGCCTCAACCCTAGGTATAGCCAAGGACGCACGCATGCAGACCGGTAGGGAAACCACGAGAAATTTCTCGAATGCAGTTTTACTCGAGAACTCTTGACTATGAATCAGTAACTAGTGATTATGTTTCTACTCACCAGATGTCAAACCACTCACAAGGAAGGCCACCCCAGAATCAGGCCAAAAAAAAAAAAAAAACAATTCGAAAGAAAGCTTTGACTCAGATATTGTTGACCAAAATCGCAATGGTCGAACGAAAACTCATCATGACGCCTATTGCATGAGAATAGTCCTTGAAACTCCAGCGAACTTCGTTCTTCAAGGAGTCGTCGAGATGTCTACGTCGCAGTAGTCAACCACGTGAAATCTTCCAAACACTCCCGAGTTCCAATAATCAAATGTATCAGTTTTACATACATACATATATTCATTTTCAATGCCGCTCACCCTAACATAATGGGGTTGCGGTGCGAGCATGCCCAGGAGAGTCCTACAATGACCTCGATCCTGGGCAACAGTTTCAAGCTTAGCTGGTGGAATGCCAAGCCTCTCGTGACAAAGCCGGGTGACGCAATCGCTCCTCCTAGTACGAGGTCTACCGATAGGTCTTTTGCCGGTCATCTAGGTCTGAAAGACTCCTCTTGGAAGTCTCTCGGATGGGCTGTGGCAGACGTGTCAAAACCACTTGATCTGAGACCTCTCGATCCTGAGAAGCAGCTGCTCGACGTGGAGGGTCTCGCGGATGACGGAGTTCCGCATCCGATCACGGCGCGCCAAGCCAGCCACCCGACGCAAGAGCCTCATTTCGGCAGCTTGTATCCGCGATCTGGTTCTTTCGGTCATTACTCAAAGTTCATGGCCATAGGTGGGGGTGGGGAGCTAAACAACTCCTAAAAACCGAGTTTCATTTCCCTAGAAACTTCCGATCTGACAACCACGGTTCGCCAGAGTCCCTGCAGAACTGCAGAAGCCTTGGAGATGCGGCTGTCGATCTCGTTTCCTTGTCGCCCGTTACTCGAGAACCACCCAGTCAAAAATTTTTAATCGGGCCACCGATGGCTTTTCTTCGACACGTACATAAGCCTTAGTTGGGCCATCACAGGCATATGGTTGACTTAGGGTTGGGTGAAGTCGGCTTACGGTTAGGCATGTCCTGTTGGCCCTTCATCGGGCCAACTGTGGCTCCCTGTTCGAAATCCGTGCATGCCCCACTAATAAACCGATGATGAACCGACCTTCCACGATGCGAAAAAAAAACATTGGGAGAAAACCCATAAACTGGCTCTATTGCGCATCTTTGAGAGATAATTATGCATATCTAGGCTAAATTCCTCCTCGTGCTATTCTTCTTAATCTGGGCTGTCTACAAGTTCGGTATCATTTCATCCATTCATAAAGAAGTAAGGCATGGAGTAAGGCCTAGAGCAGTAGTTCTCAACCTTTTTAATGTCGCGACCCGTCAAGTCAACTTTCCATATTTATGCGACCCACAAATTTATAAAGGTCCAGAAATAATGCAGCCGTGTGACTCGGGAAAAAAAAAAATTGATTGAATTTTTTAAATGCGAAAATGACACTTTCAATATATTGCTATGGACACTGGTGATTCCTTCATTATTCCTTTCTGTTTCCTCTTCGATCTTCCTCTAAAAAGAACTCGACTGGTTTATCCTCCAATATTGGGTGGTTTCGATCTGAATGATGCTTCAGTTTTGAAGGCTTCATGGATACATTGGCCAGCTGTTCACTATGCACAATGCATTCTGGTTCCATACTTTGACACAGTGAAACCACACTGAAGGCATAAATCATTATACTTCTGGATTGGTACTAGTTTCGATTTTTTTTTTCGACTTCTGTCCCAGTGACTTGATCAGGGGTGCTACCATAGTACCAGCGCTTGCACTCAGTTTTATCAGGAAAAGAACCATCTGCATTTGAATGTTAAACCTAAATAAGTAACTATAGGAAATTACGGATGAGATGAATTTCGTAAACCTCCCCCTCCCAAAAAAAAAATGGAGAGAAATAGAGAAAAATAGTTCAAGTAGCAGAGAAACGAGATCGAGAAAATGAACATCGGCTTCTGCCCGCAAAAACAGCGTCATCCTTAACCACGGCATCGAGGAACCAAAGGGAATGCAAGAACTGAGGAGATGAAGGTTAAGAGCAAGAATGATTAAAAATACATTTTAAAACTGTTTGCCCCTTCTTGGAATTGTTTTCCCGCAAGCCTTCTGCCTGTGCTAGTCTGGATCTACAGTAGACTGGATTAATATCATAGATTAGAACGTTCCTGGAAAGTTGTAATGTAGCCTTGTAGTTCGGTTTGACACGTTTAATTGATCTTTGTCTTCTCAAGATCTCTCTATTTTAAATTTAAATTCCTTTCATTTTCTCGCTACCCACCGGTTCAGAACCATTGGCCTAGAGTCACGGATTGAAGACAAATCTCGCTGAAGCCCTCATCAGGTTTCAAGGGAAACTGCCTTCTCATACGACGTCGGACTCGGCTCGTACGTCATGTTACTTCCTACATTGAATAGTAGATAAAGGAAATGTGAAATCTATGCGGCGTCAATTGGATAGTAGAACCATCCTGCCACCAACCTTCCGGGCAGGAATTTCTTGATATATCCCCGGGCTGTGTTACACCTTCAGAGAAATGCGTCGAGGAATTCTATTGTCTTCCTCTCAGATCAATGTGGGAAACCGTTGGGAACTGTGCTAAAGGTCCAGATGAGTCATTTCAGTGGAATCAAGGAGTGACTTGCTACTATGAACATATAGGCTCCGCCTCACGCCGAATTCGAGAACCTTCTCCGCCACATTTGCTGCACTTACACCACTGCTGCTACCTGCCACCCAGTGAAGGAAGGATGGATGGCGTAACTATGGCACAAGTGTGACTCGGCCAACCCAATCATTCGGCGTAGATGTGCCAACCTCCCCAGCTATGCGCTGACGATAGACCAGCTAGATTTTTTTTTACTGGGTTTGGGAAGCCACGCTAAATTGGAGTGGCAGGAAGTTGCTTGACTTCTGTGCTGGCATCATATCAGTTTATGATTAACCAAACATCCTAAATAGCCATTAATTTGAAAACTCATTCTTGCGAATTTGTCTTTCCCGCTACAAAAACGGCAAATGAAGGAGATCGCGGAGTGCGAGTCAGTTAGGTATTAAGGCGTTCAAGTTCCGTCCATAGGCGCCGAACCCAGGGAGGCGAAGGGGCACGTGCGTCCCCCAACTTAGTCCTGGAAAAAAAAAAACAGGAAATTCTGGCCGGGAGGTCCGTGGGAGGATCCTTCTACTTTCCATTATAAGCTACGCGACTTTTTTTCGCTACTCAACTGTAAATACATTATCTTTCTTAGGGGGGGCCCCCCCCCCCCCCCCCCCCCCCCAAAAAAAAGGCTAATTTTCAAGAAAAGTATGGGACATGGAAAATTGTAAACAAAATGCTGCTTCATGAAAGAAATTAAAAATATGATTTTCCTTTCTGTTTAGAGCTCCAACTAGGGAGATCCCTGTGTCACCCCGTAAGGGTATGGGGTGTAAGGGCCATGCCCAGCAGCTGTCCCCCCCCCCTCCCTCTGGGCGGCCCTGACTGTTACGTTCAAGATATAATGAACCGGACCGTGCTCGATTGTCCAAAAATACCAGGCGCTGAAGAGTTACCGAGGTAAGTGAAACTTATAGGAGTTCATTATTCCAGTTATTCCAAAAATTAAAAGCTAATTTTTTACTTTTACGCATTCCGCACACAATCACGAACAAAACTTCGGCCGGGAAGGTGAGTGCTGGGATTTAACTCGGTACCAAAAGGGTTAACAAAGGGTTAACAATGCGCGCGTTCGACGCAGGTCCGGAAGAGGTTCGACTGTGTTCTATGTGAATGAAGAGATTTACTCGTTTCGCGACGACATTCCCGATCTAAGCGGTTTCCTTTCGACTTGCCTTCGCGTTGTCTGAGGGAAGTGATTCATCTGCTTCGAGTGGCCACAGCAGTGACAAAGAAGCAACCGTGACGCTGACGCATCTGTGATGGTGACACGAGGCACGCAAGGCCGTCTTCCCGCCTTCCTCCATGATCGATGGCACGAAGCCGTCGACTCGAGATTCTCACGGGCGCAGAACAATCCTGCACACGCCACCGACATCTCTCGTATCGGCCGCTATCGTCGTTGTGGCTATCGCAATAGCGTCCGAAGAGTCAGGGCCGTCGACGTCCTTTCGTATTTCCTCGATTACTCTCTCCGATCTTCCATTCCACCGCTTATCTCGCAGCAGGCAATTAATGAAAGCTCCCTTCATTCTCTGTTCGTTCTTTCGTTCGTTCCACGCTTCAACGTCCCTTCCCCAGGTCCCTCCAGATACGTTGGATGTACCACACATTAAACACATTGGATTGGCTATAGGGCCCCCCCCCTCTCTCTCTCTCTCTCTCTCTCTAAAAACCGCGCATGCGCATTAAGATGAGTGACGGGCCAATCAGCTGCCTTCATCCTTGACCGTTCCACCTGCCCGATCAGCCGATTGCCTCTGGATGATTTGGATCGAACTAACCACGATCGAGACATACTCGACCCACTCAGCGAATCGGATTCTCTCATGGAGCCAAACTACAGAACGAATTTCGTGAGTACCAGAAGTACTTGAGATCCAAATCATGCAGAACAAGCTCTAGCAAAAAACCACGAAACAGATCTCGACGAGACCTTAATGAGAATCGCTTCTCGGAGATCCTTCACAATTTCCACTCGGTACAAAATATCCAGGAAATCATCATAAGAAACTCGTTTCCCCCCGCTGGCGACCGCCCACCTGGAGTCCAATGAAGGGGGGTCGGAGAAGCCAAACTCAGAAATGCGCCATCGGGGTGGAATGGCTCGGAATGAAGGGCATGCCGTGCAGGTAGACAGGGTCGCGAAGCGAGCCGGTGGCACGGGAAATCGTGCAAGACAGTTATATCGCGAAATCTGAAACTTAGTGCCCTCAACACCGAATAAAACTCTTTCGTTGGGATGGGTTGCCTGAATTCGACGTCTGGCCATCTCGCATTGGATAACTATCAATACAATGAAAATCCATTTCAGGTCACCACTATTCGCAATATTTTCACTTTCACAATTGAGTACTGCTGAATACTCCTTTGAAGAC